ACTGTTAAGATAGAACACGCCATCAGCCTTTCTTTCAAGTGTCTGGTTTAACAGGTTTTATCTGCCGTTAAATTGGGCAGCGGCAGCATGCCGAAGGCGTTCACAGATATGTGCCTACTTTTTTCAGCGGCCTGTCCTATGTGTGTTGAGTTGTTTCTTTTTCCTCAAAATTATATGTATCTTTATTTAAAACGCATCAAATTCACAAAGCAAGCTAATGGCCTCTTCTCAAATGCGGCATGCACTCGCGCTTCATTTTTGCAGTTGCGAGTCCCACATACTCCTTCTGTTCTTGGCTAAAACAAACGAAACTTACTGGATATTTTGTTTTTTATGTGTCAAGATTCCGGGGATGTTTTCCCGTTTATTACTCTTGGTTCAAGCGCCTGCCATCTCCCTCGAAAGCAACATTTAGAAACTGAAGTCACCTAGAAATACCAAAGTTGTGAGGCATTGGAGTGAGTTATTTTCCTTACACTTGTGTTATAAGTCCAGCCAATGCATAAGTGAGATTTGATTGTCGCCGTCCAACGAAAGGTTTTTTTTGTTTGTTTAACCGGATAAAGCTAGAAGTTAGATTCACATCTTCTGCAGCTGCATATGATTGAAAAACCCAGTAAATGTTGGCTGTTGAATATAGTGATTCACCTTCTCTATAAGCGTATTTGACGTTTTAGGCCGAATGTATTTACACTGTTACAAAAATGTCAGTCCGACTTCAAATAGGACTTAAAATATGCTACATAACAAACGCGCGCTAGTGACTCGGGAATCCAGGTTTTACTGCGCAGTAACAGTACCAAAAAACCTGCTTTTACTTCAATCAATCACAAAAGAAAGCAGACACACTCATTCCACATTTATTTTTATCTTCAGTTTATTTTGGATTCCAGAGCGTTTTCAATACACTGTTCGTTAAAGACCGGCAAAAGTAATATTTTATGCTCATGCATCATCCGGTCCTATCCGCTGCATTCGTTTAACGTACGCATCTTCCATTGCGGCAATGTCCTTCGAGAAAGAGAAACTTCTGTGAAAGAAAGCAGCAACATTAAGCAAAATTATTGAGAACCTACGGGAGGCATATGTTTAAAAGAATGTAAGTTCACTGGCATTCTGCCCTTGGCGAAAATTGCGCTTAATGTATTTAACTCACACTATTTGAGCAGGTTGAGTTTTTTTTAAACAATTTAAAAGAAGAGACGCATTGAGGACGCCACAGGCGGGACACTCTTTAAACTTCAAATACATTTTTTTTTCGCCTTCAAGACCTTTCTGATGCCGACGAGGGAAGTCGAGTTTTGTCAAGCAAGGCGAGACGACGAGGTCACCAGTAGAGGCCTCTAGGCAACCCCCCCCCCCCCCCTTTTCTCCCTTCCTCTTAGAGGCTTCTTGCTATCCACCTTGCGGTCCTCTCGCCATCCCCTTCTTCCCTCAGGCGCTTTCCTTTTTCCCTCTTCCCACGGAACGGTCGGCCACCGGGCTTGAAGTCGAAAATCAATGAGGTTGAATTTGAAAGATTGTCCTGTGTTTGTCGTCCGCTATGTGTATCCCCTCTCTAATTGTTTTAATGCATTTATGTTCTTATACCAATAAACATATTTATTCCTGGGTTTGCATTTTTTTTTTTGCAATGCGTATTTTGCGATTTGTGCTAAATACTCCAGGCGACCTACCGCCGTCGCATCGCGAAACTAAAACTCAGAACATATTACCAAAAATGCTTAGTTTTAAGTGTGCTCTTGTACATCTGCTGTAGACAGCACGTTTTCTACGTAAAGATAGCCGATTTAAATTCAAACCCATTTCTTCGAATGCAAACCTTTTAGGTTCGTATCATGTCATCAATTTCTCCGAGGAACATTGAGGAGAACCTTGCATATTATAAACACGTAATCAATGCGGAGAATCGTTAAGCAATCTCTTCGCCCTCAAACCTGGAAAGTGGCGGCAGCTTCGTAAGCGGGAATATTACTAACGCGTGGAATTTGATTCCCTTTCGCCCACTTTCAAACCATTTAATTACAACAATGCTTACATTTTTGTAATTAATACTGTTACATTTGAATTAACAATGTTACATTTAATTGCTTGCTCATAGTTATGAAAAAATAGAGCACAGAGGGATGCGCTCAAATCAACTCGCTTGTTTCGTTAAACGCGGAGCATGCTATATAACGCGAAGCCAGTCAGGTAGCCGCATTTTCTATTTGAGAAAAGCAACCGAACGCATTCAGTGGCAGTAAAGTAGTGATTTGTGCTAGTTGGTACTTCAACATGATAAAACAACGCACAGAACATGGAAGAAGAGAAAAGGATTTGTCCTTTTCTCTTCGTCCGTGTTCTTTGCGTTGTTTTATCATGTCGCCTTCAGTGGATTTACGAAGTTGCATAATTAAGGTAAGAACTACGTCTCATTCTAGGACTGTCTTCAGGAACAGGAATTGTTTTGCTTACCCATTATATAATAAAATTTAGTACGTACGAACTCGTTCAAACATTCCACGCGTAAACACGCGCTGCCTCCTGAAGTGCCCTCCAAGCAGGACACAGCAAGTTGAGGGCCCATTACACACTCTTAGTCCGGTAACGGCTAATGAAACGGCTACAACCTATTTAGGCGTGACATACGGTGGATTTCGGCATGACAAGAGAGTGACCCCGAAAGTAGCCATTGGAGTTCTTGCGTTTCCACGTCATCCTACACCACTTAGGCGTTACAACATCATTTATAGCCGTGACATAAAGAGCTCCTCATATCATTGGTGTTCCAAGCTGTTTGTTACGGTGATAATGTAACGCCGATAGAACGAGTAACGGATAAATTCAGAGCACAAAATTAATAAACGTACAATTTCAAAGTTCGGCTCTCGCCGGAGTCAGCGTGCGTTGGCAGTGCTACGAGCAAAACAAACTGACAAAGCGCCGGTCCCGGGGCCCGAGCACGGTTGACCTTGCAGGTCTGGCGCGAGAGCACTTGGTTTAACGACAGCTAACATGACGGAACGTGTTAAGAGGGACCTCTCCATTATACTTTTTCAGGGGGAAGGAGGGGGCGGGGGAGTCGGCGGCTCGGCGATTTTGGGACTAATCACTGCTTCTTTTTTTGGCACGAGAAGGCGCGCAACAGAGTGTCAGACTCGGATTCGGTGCCTCGCCATTTTCTTTGTCTCCGAACTTACGGACCGCAAGGAAGAGTTGCGCTGCGATGTTCACGTCCGCAGACATTCGTGGCGTAGTGCGCGGCCATTGCCGCCATGAAGGTTGCGACTGTCAGGAGTTTATGGGAGACACAGGTGGCCCCAGTGGAAGGGGGGATGTTGCATCTCCGTTCGGCTGGTACTTACACTATGGTCACGCGCCTGCAAGCCATGGGCGTCTTGAGTTTTTAGGTGAGTGTTTGGCTGTTCTTAAAATTTACAAATTGTGCTTAACCCGCCGAAAACTTTGAACCTCGCTGGATTAGTTTGAGTCTCCACAACATCCTTCAGAAACTCCACCTTCTTCAGAAATAGAACGCCGTTTCCGGTTTGCATTCTGTTCACCCTTAAAGGCAAAAGGCCTGAGCATCTCATAAATATAAGGAAAGAAATTGCAATGATGTGCCCCACTTTCACCACTAATCATGAGATTGAAACTTTGTTATTTTTTTTTTAAACGTCCGCAATAAACTGCTGAAACTCAGTTATTCTCATTTTCGATTCTTGTTAGTTTATTTCGAGTTACCATACGGTTTTTGCCGATAGTCTCTTATTTGTGCTCCGACCTCCATAAAAATAAGAACAAGCAATTGCAAGAGACTGTAATGTCTCGTTTGTCAAGAAGCGCAAAGCACGCGGGGATAATACTTAGTCCTTGGTCCCTTTGCATTTTGCATTTCGGGTTCGAAAGTGTTAACCGACATTAGCATTTTTGAACAGATTAGACATCGAATGCCACCGTCGTGCTTTTTAGAAGAGTTATATACGCGCAACAGTATTTTTGACTGTAACACCAATTTTTATTGCAACCAATTGGCTATTAGCCATTCCGAGGGGTCACATTTTTTACGTCAATTTAAGCCTAAAAGTGTCAGCCGCGTTTAACGCCTAAACGGCGTCACAAAAGTCACGTCAATACTGGCCTGACTTTTGCAATGCAGATATCTACGTGACATGTAACGCCGCGAGTAGCCGTTAAAAAAGTGGCACCTTTTCACGCCAAAATAGCCGTTACCGAACTAAAATTGTAACGCCCACACGGCGCCACAGAAGTCACGTCAACATTGCCGTGACTTTTGTAACGCCGATATCGGCGTTACATGTAACGCCACGAGTAGCCGTTAAAAAAAAACGGCACTTTTTCACGCCGAAATAGCCGTTACCGGACTAAGAGTGCAGAGCACAAACAGGCCCCGCTACACTTTCGTCCTTTTTTTTTCTTTTTTGCTAGGTCGAAAGTTTTTTTTTTTTTTTTGCTTCACAGTGCGTGAAGTGAACGAAGCTTCACGTGCTGGGAAAATACTTTGGGACAATTTCACACCCCTAGAAAAATTTCAATACGGCGAGAGTGCCCCGGTACAGGACTAAAAAGTTCGTATGTATATAAAATAGTTAAGACCAACGCTCCGCTGTATTGTAACAGCTGTATCAAATAGGCGATGTATGCGCCCGAGCTCAGACGTGTCTGTGATATTAGTTTCGGGTCAATTAAGGCTATGTCTATATTCGGAAGCTATTGGAACTGATATGAGTGACTTAATTGGGATTTTAGGTAACGTCCATGGATCCACATGGAGCCAGGGCTTTCTAACGACGATTTCGTTTCAGAAAATGTCAATCAAGAATAGCTATCGTACAATTTTTCGGGAAGTTTAAATTATTCAAGAAGTGCAGTGAAAGCATCCGATGTGAAATGATTATTATCAAAATAAAAAAGATCGCATCGGTCGACTCTTCTCGCACTATTTTTAAACTAGATACTAGCATACGGTAAATTAACGTAATTTATTGTTTTCTCAATCAACTACCATAAACCGGACCTTGAATCACAGCTTGAGGTTTTATACTAGAAATGATTGTACCCACCTTACAGCTTGTTCCGATGGTTGTTTGCTCTACAGTGAATCGTGGAATCCGCAGGAATCCCCATTCTCCATGTTGACAAACATACATGCATTGTAAAAGGGGTATAGTCTATAGAAAAAGAAGAATGGTAAAAATATTTTGGGTTCAATTTTTACCCATTAAAGCCACAAAAATATGATCATACACCAGACGACTAAAACTTGGGAATGTGCTAGTTGGTTTGCGTGATGTAATTTAAACTGCGACATTAAGTTGCATATTAAGCGGAGCTAATGCTGGAAGAAGAGGACGTATACGTGTATGCTCGAACTAAAAACTGTTTACTTTTTTTCTAGCCGTGCAACACCGGGGGCGATACATAACCAAAGAAATGACACATAAAATAACTACTGGTTTAGCAAAATTTATTTAAACTGTTGTTGCTCGCGGAAACCACTAAACGATTGCTATTAGTAAAATCCCGATCTAAATTAATTTATCCCAGCCCGAAATTCGTTTCGTGAGTCTTTTAAGACTATCAATTTGCACGATAGCCACCAAACGCCATGAGCAATGGCTAGCTTCTTTTCGACTTAAACTGTACATACTGTTTAAGCTCTGACTGAAGAAGAAGTAGCTACCCTTTTAGGATTGGGTTGAGAAAAAGGAAGTTTATTAAAAAGGTTGATAGTCCAGCAGTGTCTATCTTTCTCTCTTCGTCGCTTTTCCTAACGTTCAGCTGGTAATCAGTAAGCATGGATAACCAACCGGCTCAGCTACAGGCCATCACACTTTTAAAGTTTGCGAGAGTTAATTTGTCAAACGTTTCTGACAACGCCAAGCAAGAAAATAATTCGAAGAACATTTTTACCCTCACCTAATTCAAAGTATATTATTTATCTATACTTTATCACTCAGTTCTCTAAAACGCCAGGTAGTGCGTTAAATAAAAAAATCGAAATTATCAAGGTTTTGCAAACAAACTTCTTGCCTGCTCTCTTCGTTAGGCGCTCCGGATTAATAATCCTTTCGGTGGTTTTTGAAAGGCTAGCTGCCTGTAGTTGAAAACAGAAAAGGTTACAAATAATTAAAGTAAAAAGTAATGCGAAGAATTCTTTCGACGATTCTACGTTTGTGTTTTATTTTTTTTTTTTAGAACTAGAGTACGCTAGCCTTGGTGACGTAGCACATAGTAGCTATCGCCGAGAATAGGAGGCGATCTCGAAACTGAATCCTGCCCCTACATTATATGTTTATTATCTTTTTGTGATATAATGTTTTATCAACTTCCTACGGCCTAAAGCGCGCAAGAGACGTTTGCGACTTCTGATTTGTACGCTTATAGTGTTGTAGACGTAATACAACAAAATCGCATGTAATGTGCCGCTTCAATGAAGAAGGTGTTTCTTTTTAAGCTTTGCAGCTTTATTAAAAAAAAGCCACGAAATCTACACGAATGCGTTTTATGCAGGTAAGGTGTACGGAAAGCGGGACATAGGATAGAGGGCTAATAATCACAATCAGTCAGCTAATTACATAAAACAAGTAAATCGTGGTTTAATTATTGAAAATAAACATACGGCTCGAATTGGAAACTTCCTGCGCGTCATCGAAAACCGCTAAATCACACAACATTGGAAAGGGTTGGAGCACTCTGGAGAAGCACGCTGGAGCGTAAAAGGGACTACACCTGCATCAGGAGCAAAACTACCGGTCCCAGGACGCGAGGATTGTCCGTCTCTTATAATCGCCCCAGCCTTGTGCCTGTCGCATGAGATGGAACTTCAGCTCAATACAGTGCGCTTCCCACGTGATATATTTTTTTTTTCTGAAGAATGACTGATTGAGGGGTTTTCAATGTTGCTAAGGAAGCGACAAACAGGTCGTCTTTTCTTTTTTTTTTTTTTAGAAAGTGAACTAAAATGGTTTCAATTGTTATTTATGTTACTGTGACGATTAGACCTCTATATTATGTCCATTATGTCCCCCAGTCCGTATAATTCACCTGCACACACCGCATTAGTGTAGCTTTCATAGTTATTTATACGCGAGGCTGTTAAGGTTAAAAATATATATAAAGTCAAGATGTACCTTAAAAAAAAAAAAAAAAAGAAACACATCGCCGTGCGCAAAGAGTAAACTAAATTTAACCACTTTTTTTTGCATTCGACGCGCCATTTTGTCCATAAGTGAACCTGAAAACGCTCGTACACACCGGTTCTGCGGAATCCGACAAGGCTTTTTTCGCAGTTTACGAATGCAGATGGGCCTTCGTCCAAATGGTCCAATTCTACTCATTTACTTTTCAGGTTCTGATGTTCTCTCAGAGCAAAAGCGTGTTATTATTTGCACCTCTTAGCGTATTTGGATAGTGAGGAAGATATAACAATACAATTAAGGTTTCATTGCATATCGATTAAAAGTAAAAAGGTGACGCTGGCGCCCTCAGAAAACATAATTGCCGTGAAACCACTTTTTGCAGAAATATGATAAACAATAATCGTTTGTTATTTTTCTTCCTAAATTAGTTATGTGTTTTTAGTGCAACGAACATAACGAATGTTGTCAGGCACTTGAAATAGTTAGCATATAATTGTTCAATTATAATAAGTATATAAGAATGTTGATCGACAAACTTAAAAACGTCTCTCGGCCAGCACTTTACGAATACTCAAAGTGCTCAAAGGATTTCCTAAAAAAAAGTGTAAACTTTTATTTTATCTTTCGCGACAAATACTGTCGCCAAAAATAAAATACCAAACAGTATACAGTTTTTCACGTTTTCAGAGAAAACCGTATTTTAAATATCATATAGTAAACACAAATCGTTAACAGCCGAGGAGATGCCACTAGTTTTACTGAAGTTCAAAAACTACGGACATAATATAATTAAGTATATAGGATACAAAATATGCAATGATTCATGCATTTTAACTTGAAGACAGAAATCACAAGAAACTGAAAGTAGATTCAACAGTAATATTGCTGCCCCATACCCATGTTTTTGTGCATCCTAGTCCGAAGAGGTTTAGATTGCCTGAACCATAGGCTGAAACATAAAAAGCATAAAGGAAATTATAGTACATATACTGCCATGCTCGTCACCGATCGAGCGCGTACGTGGCCGAGGATTTACCGTGCTCGGCCGTCGCGTGGAAATACGAGGGTCGATTCCAGGAAGCGGAGTCCCCTTTTATTTATTCTTTCAACTTGGCATTCTGGTAAGTTGGACAAAATGTCGTCTGATCGAGTTACGAATGCTCTCCGTGCCGAAAGTTCTACTCCAAATATTCCAGAAACCCAGGGGATACAATAGGCGCTCCGCGTGGCGAGCCGGAGTCAGTCTTGCCCCAGCGTTCGATCCTGCTGTTACGCCGACTTCGACGCCCGCGACGCTCTGTTGTTATCTTCTGTTTCCTTCTTGTTTAGGGCAGAAGTTCGTCGTTTTAAACGTTTATTTCTTCCTGTTTATGTAGTCTTCTGGTCACCATCCTTGACAATACTCAGCGTCATCTAGCTACCGTATTTACTCGAGTAATATCCGCGCTACTTATGAACAAGCACCTTGCGCATACTTTCTCGCAAAAAAACGCATACATCCAATCATTGCGTTGCGCATAAATAACAGCATCTAACTAGGTCTAGAACAAAATTTTCTATAACAATGTAATCTTCACAGATGGTACCTTAGCGTGAAGGCGTTATTTTTGTCCAGTAAATCGCTGGCATCATTCTGTCGATCGCGTGATTGGCGTTCCGTTTGCTCCGTGGAAGATCGGAAACAGGTTTTCTTCGTGAACAGTAAGACATCTGGGCTACTGTATTAGCTTCAGTGCCTGAATATATTCCCTGGAACTAACAACCATTCAGGCGCTAGCGAATCCTGGATACCTCCGGGTAACACAATGGCCGCCGTGTCTCTGGAACCTAACACCTCATTAAATTTCGGTGCAGAGTAATATATCAGGTTTTATCACGCAGATAGTCCCTGAATGATAGAGCGGTAACTCTGCATACTGATTTGAGATGGCTTTGGGATCGGGGCATGGTGATGCTGGGACTTCCCACCGTGAGTCAGTACTTAATTGAACTTGGTAAATTGCTGAGTTGAAAGTAAAATATTCATATCGGCTAGCTCGAAATAGCTTGGAGAATGTGTCAAAACATACATTGTCAAGAGTAAATACCTTTGATAATTCCTTGTAAATATTCGAACAATAGAACGTTTTCTGGAGACAGCTAAATTTGTTTCTGTGTTGTGAAGATTTCAAAAAATACAAAAATATTATGTGGCAGCAAAAAAATGTTATTTTGTATATTATCGTTACAACCTTGCACAGAAGGATACACATTACTGTAACTAGGAAAGGTTTTATTTAGAATTGGTTGCTCGACGTCATTATGAGATGTTTGAATGATATGTTAGAGATATCTAGGGTTCCGCGTTTTCGGTTTTTATTTTTTCCAAATTCGGCGTACTTTATTTGGTGTTTATTCTAAAAATATTTTTCGGTTTTTCTCGGTGTATATTTATTCCCCAAAAAGTTTACAGTTTTTTTTTTTCGGTGAATATGAGGAAACACCATCGGACACCGGGTCAGATGATCCTTCTAGCTGTGATATTTGTGATCACTCAAAGAATAACGACACATATATATACGTGGTCTTCACTACAAGTTCCGTCAAGACACACCACAATATCGCGAAATTCACGGGCATAATCATCAGCGCATTCCGTTTTCCTTCCAATTCTGACAACGTGACCGTCCGAGGTGATGACCGTACTGGAACCAGCGGAATGGCAAAAGAAAAAAAGGAAATTCAGTGTATTTACGTTCTGAACCACAGGGAAGTTTGAGAGAGGGTGTTAAGAAAGGTATTTACGGCTTTCCTCGATGCCCTCTCAAGTGCATTAGGACCGGGAACTTGACACACTAACACTAAGCCCGATCACAGAAAGGACGCAGATGTCCCGCGAAGGCCAATCCAAGAACTCTTTTGTTGCATGTTGTACCTTGGCAATCACGAAGACATCACACAATGTCGAACCTTGCGAAATCCCCCTCTCTCTCTCTTCCCCCCCCCTCCCCCACCCACCTCGACAAGGCCCTAAAAAGTGGACCTTTTTCGGTTAAAACCAAATTTTTGAAAATGGATTAGAGTACTTTTATCGGTTTAAACCGAAAACTCCGAACCCTAGAGATATCCTATGCCTGCGGAGGTCTTAGTATAATCATATAATACTTCATCACCTAGGGACGGATCCTTAATATTTTTTTAACTTTATTGCATTCCTACATATCAACATAATTATAATTTCACACAATTTATGAATATTAAGACCATCAAATAACCCCATTCCAGCGCCATAGTGATTGGCAGCTATATGAACTTACCGAAGTGGCACATTGCCAAGAAGCACAGGACGCAGCTCAGACGCATTTTTGTTGTCGGGATAGTCACACACGTGTGCGTGTTATACCTTGCTTTTATATACCGCATGGCTATCTTTTTTTTTTTCTCGAACAAGTGTAAAGAAAGTGAGGGAAAACAATGACGTGCGAGTTTGCTAGATCATACATCATTTTACTTTCGTTCGCTAGAGTTGTCTTCTGCACTATTGTTTCGCTTGTTTTTCAAGCTTCACGAACTCGTGTTAAGTTTATATTTTTTGTTTGTGGAATGTTTTCGCTTACGCAGAAGCTGCACTTCATCTTTGTCCTGTCATACCACCGGAACGAAGGGTTTGCATAAAAGAAGCTTTTCCGATGTTTTGCGTAGGTATTTCTGTTTTTTCATTTACAAAAACAAACCAATAAAAGCATAACATGATAACGAAAAAAAATCCTGCATGTCACGTTTACGCTGCGCAACGCACGTTGCGCTTGTGGCAGCATAGGCCTTTTTTAACGTTTAAGTACGACTTTGTGTGTAGTGACGACAATAAAAGTTTACAGCTTTGGTATAACTCGCCTTTACACTATACATTCTAAGAAATCTTTTGTGTCTACTTTTGCGCAAAGTGCTTGGGAGATTCCGAAGATACTGCAATTATTCAACAGGGGCAAGCAAGGTGGACAAGAATGACGATAATAGTCCCCGCAGAAGAGAAACAAGGGGGACGAAGTACAAACACAAATCTCCAAACACAGCTAGGTGACTGGTGCGCGACCAAAAAAATCCGCCTGGTCTTGGTATCGAACCATGACCTCTCCATTTCCAGTGGAGCTGCATTTCCAGTGGAGCGTTCTACCAATTGAGCTAACTAGGAATTAGACGTCAGTAGAGGAAACGGGTTATATCAGCTGCAACCATTCTAACTGTTAGAATGATGGCAGCTGATAAAACTCGTTTCCTCTACTGACTTCTAACTTCTGGCTAGCTCAGTTGGTTGAGCGCTCCACTGGAAATGAAGGGAACACTGGTTCGATACCCGGACCAGGCGGGAATTTTCGGTGGCGCACCAGTCACCTATAGCTGTGTTTGGAGATTTCTGTTTGTCCTTTTTTCCCCTTGGCCCCCCTCTCAAGATAATATTATCGTCATGCTAGGAAAAGTCGATGGATGCAATCTATGGAATACGAAGGGATCGCAGCGAATTGCGAATCCGAACATATGTTTACACTTAAAGAAAAGGGGCGTTGTGAGAGCGCTTTGCGCTGTCACAGCGCGCCCTGTCATGTGATGTGACAGCGATCATGAGGTTTGACGTGCTCACTTCATGCACAGTGTCACAGCGCATAAATGTTTTTTATTGATTGAATCATTAATCGAACTGTATCTTACGCATGTGTCGTCAAGGTGGTTGGAACAAAAGCTGACTAAAACTCTTAAAAATGTGGCACAGAAAATAACTAAAAATCAAAACACAGATCTGAAATTACAAGGTTACTGAACTAGATTACAGCTGGATAGGTAATATAAAACATATGTTCATAGAGTAAAACTCAGAAGTAATTTTATGAACCAGTTGATGAATTCAGATATGTTTCTTCATGATATCCGAAATATCATAACATATTTTTAAGTTTCGAAATATTGTTGTAACTTTGGGTTTTAGAAATCGCTTATGTTTGGGCTGTAATTTACTTTGCTTAGGTCTAAAGGTGTTTACAGCCTCATCATTCGACGAGCTCCTTCCGTAGAGTATTGCCGTTGGCTCTCCCAAGCGTTACGCGATGAGTGAACGGCAACCTGAGCCTCTTTGCGGGAAATTGGCCGCAGTCGACTTTTTAGTGTTTGATCACTGATATATTAAGAAACGCAGGGCGTGGCTAATATCAAGCAGGATATATTATCTCCACAGGAGATGGTATTGCGATATTAATCGATAAAAACTAAAGGAACGATTCACAAATCAAGAAGCGTCATCATAATGAACTACATTCTGCTTGTCTTAAGCTCTCAGTGAGCGTAGTTCCAATGGCAGCTATTTAGTTCTATGCGTAAAAGCAGAACTGCATTCACATAATCGCGCTGACAATGTTGCGTAGTGTACACTGTAACCATGAAGTATTACTGTTTCTTATCTGCACATTTCAGGACATGTATGTCTCCCTCTCGTATTGAATGTTTGGGTTGATATTGCTTAGCACAATGAAAGAGTCGCCGCCTTACCATCAAGTTAACCTCTCATGACTGCAGTGCCAGTCCACCTTTACCAGAGGGTGTCCATTTATACTTCGAAAATAATTAAACTGTGCTCTTGAAGTGGTATAATGTTTTCTCCGCAACAACGCTATGGACAGGGGCGGACGTCAGGCACACGTGTGACGTGATATAAGCGAGCGTGTTACAAATATTTTTCAATAAAACAATGCAGTTAGGTTTGAAAAGAGGGAAATATACTCCGTGATTTTAACAGAAAATGGAAGCGGTGAGGTGACCGAGGTGCAAAGGTCACGCTTGTAGGTAGTCACTATTGTAGGTAGTCGCTCTCTAACTTCTAGTCCGATGCATAGTTTTCGGTTTTGTGTTTTGTGTCCCGGAGAGCAGTTTGCTCCTGGCAGAGGATAACCTGACTAATGATCGGCAAATGGTGAATCCCGCTTGCAACCGAATCTGAAGCGTCCCTCCTTCAGATGTGAACCATTGGTCCACGGGTATTCTCCTTTAAATTTTAAAACAAGTGTTCCATTGGAAGACCACACTCCTGCATTGAAACAGTAGGTGTTTGATCTGAGGCTCCTTTTGGGTATGTCTTTTCAATCATTATCATTAATACTTGCGAAAAATGCGAAATTTACTTCCTAATATTTTACTTCGGAACTAATCAAAAATAATACGTGGCCTCGGTAAAAAAAGAGGTCAAAGGCTCCACTGATGCGCTCGATTAATCCCAGCAATTATAATCGTCAATTCGCTTTGTCGTTAAGTAAACTTCGTTTTACGATAACGAAAGAGAGACATGGGAGATAAACAGACAGCCCCAGGCTCAACCATCTACATTATATACTTCCTTGAGCTTCATGTAACGTGGTGTCCTGCTGGTAAGACTTTCTTTTTTAAACGAAAGCCTGTGCTGTCTGTTTGTCTTCCATGTCCCGCTTTTGTTATGATAACTTAAAACCAACAAGCTGAACCATCTACATTATACTTAATTGGTCCACTTATTTTATAAATATATCTAAATATTGTTTAGAAAACATTCATATATGGTTTTCAAGTATCTAATATCTTAATTCGTATCGATTATTAATTAGGGTTGTTTTGGTTGCTGTACTTAAATCACTGGGAATAAGTAAGGGCGGCTCAATCACTTCTTAAATTTTTTAATGAATGCTACGTGTTTTGGAAAAAGATCCTGTCAAGCTCGTGAGCCTTTTTCTTTGTCTCTGTGTTTTTAGATTTGAAAATGAGGTTCTTTTCTAAAGGAGACCTTGTCGGGGCCTGCAATTATATTCAGTTTTTTAGCAATATTAAACATGTCTAAATATCTAAAGCTTTATTGACATAGATATTCAATTTTCTGGTTTAACGTTATCTTCATGACATTTTGTAGAAAATCGTAATTCAAAATATCGAAACACAAAGAACGGCACAAAAGAAGTAGGAAAGAAGAAGAAGACGAAGTAGTGACCAAATTTCTTTATTGGTGAAAGGTGAACTGTTAAATCTTTCAAATGAATTACATTTTGACGTCAGAAGTTGAATTGCAATATGTAATGCCGTTAATGAAGCAGCAAGCCCAAACGCGGAGGAATACCCTATAACCATTTCAAAGGAGGGCCCTCAATATCTCCCCCAATGGCATTCATGCTGGCGGAGGAGCAGCTTCTGTTCCAAACACAAGAACACAACATCACTGGCGCTCAAACAAACCTTACGCGAGTAAAGCAAGTGAACAGGACGGATTGTTGGCTCCAACATAAAATCCTTTAGGACGACCCTCCAAGTACGGCTAGATACCCTTATCGAAAGTCTTCGGTATGTTAAGAAGGGTAGACGGTCGTCGCTTTCTAGTAATTTACTGGCAGTACTTTACTCACCGACTAGAGAGCATGCTACGGATCCCAATGTATTTCCTACATCTCCAATTTACCCATTGTCACCAATGGTTCAACCATTTAACGAAATAGTCACCCTGTAAGGTTACCTATTCCAGTTTTACGAATGGTTGGGATGCACTTAAAGAAGCTCAAACTGGGCCTCTCAGCTGCAAGGGAAAGTTCTAGAAATGTATTGCTCCTTGACGTTCGATTAAAGACTAAACTCTCTGGTACAGATGAACGGTTTGCCAGCACGGTTTATAAGCGACTACATTCGACATCTCTGTTTTCCTCAACCAAGTACATGACAACAACGTTCCACAGAGTCGCTTACTTTTTCTGGGTTCCCCAAACTTTTTTAATTGAATCATACGTTTTAGGTGTCAAACGTATGCACCTCAAAAATATTGAGAGTTTGTGTCAAAGTAACCGTAACATTTGTTTGATTACACTCACTGGTAGTTTGCGCCCGCTGAGGCTCAGCCTCCCGGGCTTCGGCTTCTAGTGGATTGCGAAGCTCCTGCTAGGCGTTTACGTTCCGCATTCCGAGTCTTCTTTTGTGCGTATTGCAGAACAGAGTCGGGGGTGCTTTTCTTTTTCTGACACGCTAAAAATTTTTGTTACATGGACGGCGCAGGTTCCGTCGCTGCCAGCGTCGACAGTGGTACCGCTATGACTTTAATATTCAGGGACGCTAATGACGGGCGCCATTCCTATGCTCCGACTGGCGAGCATGTCAAATGTTGGATGCCAAATGTTGGAGGTTTACTTAAGTTAGAATGGCTTTCACGCATTGATAAAGCGTATAACCATCTTCTATAATGTCAATACTTCAGTGATGTGATCTTCGTGTAAGGTAGCGTATTGAGAGAAGATACAATTTAATAGTTATTACTATTTGATACGCTGTGAGTATGAGGTCTTTGTTGCGTGGTGTTGAAAATACCGAGAACT